TGCCACCCAGACGTTGGTCAAGTACTCAATGAGCTTCCGCAATACATTTCCCAATGACTATGCCAACTTCGCAATCAGTGAGCTCGTCGAACATTATACCGCTCAGGTGTGACCAAGAAGAGGCTATCTTTTTTATTGTCGATTCTGCTCGGAATGGCAAATCTTCAACCACTAAAGCCCTTTCAATCTCAACTGACTCTGTTCCATTCATGGGCAGCACCCTTAGACTTCTGACTTGGTTGAGCATGCAAGGCTGAATGTTCCCATCCACAGACTTTCTTGCCAAGGATGAGGACGGTTTGAGGTTGACTGTAGCCTCAGTCTTGGAAATTTGTTTGACCAGCCTAGAGTAATTCTTCAGGATTGTCGGCTAACCCAGTGCTGTCCCTCACTAAACCTACCCCCAGTGAAAACAATAATTTACACGCGTTTATCCCTAATGTGAGTTTAGGCGTAGCTGTTTGAGTTCAGCCGTCTGGATCACTACACCATCGTGCCTTTGCGTCTAGACGCGTCGGTCAGCAGAGGGGAAAGGCAAATTTCATAAGATCCTAAAGGCATGATCACTGGCACATGTCTGACCTCTCTCGGCTCGAAAAGTACAGGGAAAATTCAATGTCTTGCTTCTCGCTAGTTTACTCTGCATTTCCCACGTCCGTCTTGGATGCCATACTTGAACCTGAGTGCTGGTTTCTCCAAAGCACTGTGCATGCAATCCCTTAAAGCGAATTTACCCGTCTTCAAGCCGATTACATTTATTCAAGCCATTCCTGAAATGAAAGACAATGCTATTAGCCTAACAACTGGCATTTACTTTTATTTGATTTGCAGTCATTTTTGCTTTCACGAATTATCAGTCGCATGGCAAGTATTACGCGTGCCAATTAATTAAATCGACATGGTAAATACCTACTTGTTCTACCAAAAGTGGAGAAACAACAGAATAAGTAGGTGGGTTAACTCATGAAATGTCAACCGAAATTCCGAAATGCGTTTTCGTTTCGAAAAGATTAATTGAGGAGGTATATAAAACTAATCAGTCTGCAGTATAATTCTATAATAATTCCGTTACCTCAGGATGTCGGCTTTCAAACGAACTTCCTACCGGTTGCATGCCAAAACAATAATCCTTAAAATATGACTACATAAATAGGGTGCATTTTCCATTTAATTTTCAATGCTCCGAAAAGTCCAGTTATGCTTCCTGGAAAACTTAATTAAAAATATTCATTTCTCCGCTCATTTGTAAAAAAATTTCGTCTTCTTTTAATTTCATACTCGGAGGAAGGGTATTATTCGGTTTTTCAAAGCTTTTCTAATTTCCGAATCACTTTGAACCCGCTCTGCCTTCACATTTGCATTCCGGGTTTCAAAACTGCAAGCTAGGTATTTTTCGCGTACGCAAAAACACACATTTCTCTACGGTATAAAGAGGAGATCATATACGGTTCATAAAATTTAGCATTGGATTTGATCCATATTGTTAACTTTACAAGCCACATTGATAAATGCAGAGACATGACGTTTTATGAATGGCCTTTTCACGGTATTTAAAAGTCCCACAATTAGAAACATTTTTAAAACTGAATTATCCCCCTCCTTCGAGTATAAGACTGAAAGAAGACGTAATTTTCTACCGAATGAGTAAAAGAGTAAATATTTTTATGTATGTGTTCCATGAGCTATAACTAGACTTTTAGGGGCATTGAAAATCAAAGATAAAATGCATGCTACTTTAGTAGTCATTATTTAAAGAGTATGATTTTGGCATGCAGTCGGCAGGAAGTTCATTCGAAAGGCGGCATCTTGAGGAAACCGAATTATTATAGAATTTATTGCAGACTGATTAGTTTTACAAACCTACTTCATTAATCTTTTCGTAACGAAAACGCATTTCGGAATTTCAGTTGATATTTCATCAGTTATCCCACATTAAGGGGACTGTAGTGATTACAGCTTAAAAAGACTCGTTCTTTTTAGGTCCAACTTCTAAATAAGTCTGCAGAGTTTGGCGTTTGAAATAATGGCATCATCCTATTTTTTTTTCTACACCTGAGGCCGCTTGTCCGCTAGTAATTTCGTTTAAATTATCCCGTCTTGCGGGTTATCGCTACCGTAATTGTGCAACGGAGTACATATGCAAGCGGTTTCTCTACAATTCAAAGTAAAAATATGAATGCGAGTCTCGTATGCTCTGCAGAATTTTGTTACAAGAATGTCTAGACCACATTTGCGAAATCCCACGTGTGCTCAAGAAAACTATTCAGTGTATTAGTGAGGCATGCTGCCTCAATTGGTTTGCGACAAATTGGCCCAGACACACTGACCCCATACGCAGTCATCTCGGTATAATTAGTAAATTTTCCTAAAAGATCCGTGGGCGAAAAATTCCATGACCGGTCAGGGTCGTAGGCATAAAGGTCATTCAAATAAACTTTAAATATCTGTGTTTGCATGTGCAACAGCAAACTCCAACCTAACAAGCAATTGTCGGAGGCGAAGCATGCTCTTAAGGTCGTTGTCTCTCGTTCTGTCCTTGTTGATAATAAACGGTGAGTGATCAGCCTACTTGCTCTACTGAAACATGGATTTTTCCATGTTTTTTTTTCCTGCATTGTGTGGATCATCAGCCGAATGTGTTGGATGAAAGCTGAATTGTGTGATTTTTAGTATGCTTCCAAATTACAATTGCTATAGTCATACCCATTGCACGTCTCTGTATTTCGGTGTTGAGTGTTGTCTTTGAAGGATTTTTATACAGCATGTCTAGTCAAATACATTTAAGGGCAGTAACACATTTCCTACACATACTTTTACGATTTCGCTGTGAACGGGTTTAAATATTTGGTGGCGCACGAATTTGCTTCTGTTTAGCAACATTACCATATTTGCCATAATTCAAGAACAGTGAATTTCCGCCCTAAGGGGCTTTTTCCGCCCTTATTCCTCTGCTCGGAATTGGTCCTACTGGATTTTTTAACGCCTTGTCTAAACCCGCTAGTATTTTGCCCTAAGCCATTTAGGGAACGGAGGAGCAAAACTAATAAATCAATGCACCGCACTTAAAATGCTTTATGTGCAGTTAAGTGCTATGTTCGAATCCAAAACTCGAGTCCCACTGCACGCCTCCATATTAGGATTGTGTAAACCAATCTATTTTTGTGTGTTTGTATTTTTCTTTAGCGGAAAGTTCTGCGGAAGACTCGTTCGAAGTCCACAACATTCCGATATCTAATGGGCCGTACACGATCACAGTCCCTGTGCTCACAGAAGACACTGTAGGCATTTTTTCTACTATGTGTCCTGCCTTTCTTATTCTGTCATATCAATTTATTTTATGAAAATTGACTATTATTATAAAATTGAAATTTTTTTCTTAATAGGAAATTGCCTTTACAATCGATGAGGAGCAATTCCGAGCTAGCGGCGGAAATTGTCATTTGAACTCCTCGGTAGAATTTCACTTTCCCTGCCCAGTACAGTGCTGTAAGTTTAAATCTGCTGAACTGTGTTACAGTATTTTCGAATTGTTACGCAAAAGGCGCTAGCCGCAGTTTCTAAAGAGCAGCTAAGTTGGAATGCATTTGAAATGTTTCAAATGAGGTTCTTTTTTTCTTCCTCTTTTAGGCAATGGTGCATGCGTTCTTAATATTAAACTTCCCGAGGTTTCCTTTATGGAACTACTGACCGCCAAAGTCAACGATACTCACGAAATCGTTTATGTACATGGTAAGGATCTAAACTAATAATGCACTACTAACCAACGTCAGGGGATTTACACATTTGCACACATATCCAACTTATCTCTAGCCGAATGTAAATCATAAACACAGTTGTATTACCTAGTTGACATTTATAATCGGTTCCCCATCTAAGGTGTTTAATTATTCTATCAGCGTACGCTTACAAAGACAAATACCACCAGTAATACGCAGTTAATATAAAGCTGTGAGTGAGAAACTTCCGGAATTTCGTTCTTCACAGGGACATGTACTAGCTTTAATTTGCTTGACCTCTTGATGGAAAAATTTGTTAAAATTCATTCCGCATCCATTTTGTGTTAACTTTTTAACTTGCGAAGATGACTACACACACTGAGACGAATCATATCCCATGTCATTAGCAAGAAGAACTTTCTCATGTACGACCTAGTTAAATGCTTGATAGGCATGCCATTGCCTTGGCGGACGGGAAGAATTAAAACATTTATTTTTTAAAATCGTTTCCGATTTCAATTTTACTCATCATGCATGCTTGACATATATGCCTATTGATAGACCGAGACGTGTGCGGCAGCCGACTTCCATTCTACACCCAAAAGACCGGACCACTTATATATATGACACTTAGTCCATGGTCCCCAGAGGTAAGTACAATAAATGCAAAATATCTCCATGAGAATATATGTTATTAGTTTAATACCTACATCACAAACTGATAAAGTTATAACTGGAAGTTGCATTATTTTCAGTATGTGATTCTACAAGAAAAGTACTTCATCGTGGATGTAAACAACGGACTATGCAAATCACTGTCACTCGATGAAACCTTTAGGTGTAAAGTTGAACAAGGTATTTTAATTCTCAGTGCTTGCAGTTTTCATGATTTGAAGGAATGATGAAAGCGACTGCTTCATTAATATGTTCTTCTGATAGAAAATTGCAAACGAAACGCAAACGCTCTTTTTCAAACATAAGCGCAAGGTTTGCACATATTAAAATTTTACAGACACGGAATGTCAGTCAACATTTATATTCTCCGAATTACCGTTGAGCAATTACATCCCCGATAAGCATACATTTTCTCTATTAAGATCTCTGCATGCCGGAGCAGGGTTTTTTATGTCGAATGAATCCTCAATTTGTTCGCTGATTCAGTGACGTTCGTACATAACCGATTTGTCTTTTGCGTTTTCAGTTGCGAATGTATCCAGAATCACGATGTTCATTTCGGAAATAAGAAATATTACTGAAATTCTTATCGGCTTCAGAGATCTAGACATGCCTAACGACAAATATCAACTGAAGCTGCAGCACATTTCATCTGCTCAGTCAGGTAAGTGTATGACTGTCGAGAAACCCGAAATTAGCCTCTGGAATGACATATGTTTCGTTATAGCAGCAACTTATTTTGCACATCTGTCCTTCAGGCATGCTAACCTTTGACAACAGCAGTTTTTCAAATCTCTGCACAAACGAGTCCGAAGTGGAACTCGCCTGGAGATTCTTGGGAACAACATCAGCAATCAATGCGAGCAATGTAAGTATGTCTTGAGACCCAAACTTCATGCGTCACTCGGGTTTGGAATCGTTTGATGGGAGGAACCCGAAACAGTTCGGTTCATAATTTTCACAAAGGATTTAATTATTCTTGCCCAGGCCCCCTGTCATCTTTCAATTTAGTTATTTCCATCGAACAATCAACGGCAATAGAGTTTTCTTTAAAAATTTAAAGAAGTATGATACACGGTAAACCTAATGCGAATGATCAATGTTAGTTTGCTGACTAGCCAGCTCGACGAAAGTGTTCTATTAAATAATATATACTTTGCAGATATACTTAAATCGTCCGTTACGATTAGTTTGAATTTATTTTCTGCCTTAGTATTGTCGTCAAACCTATTGACGAAAATATTCTGCATTTAAGATAACATGCTACTCTAACGAAGAGCCCATATGTGGACTGTCGTCGCCATGCGGTAAGCCATTTTCGAACTCGAAACCATAAGCAACTCTATGTTAAAGGACTTTATGAACTTTTTTTCAAAACCTAAGGGAGCCATATTGAATGCTATTTTTCTACCTCAGTACGCCTAATTTTGCGCCGACATCAGTTTTAGGGAACGAGGGAGCCCATTCCGTGCTGAGATACACTGCAAAGCGTGGACCGGAAAATATGGTTCTTTATACATGCTTGTATAAAGAAAATGAAAATTTTGACCAAGTTACTTACAGGATCTTTTGGCCAGGTATGTCAAATTCGTACAGGTGTTATCTGCCGGAAAACCATTTAAATATATTCTTTTTAACGGCTTTTCACGCAAATGGAATCTGGAGTGCTGATTTTTCAAAATCAATTTTAAAATGGGCATAAAAATATATCCGAAATTTATAGGTTCGGACAGGTTTGTTGGCGAAACTGAAGCCCTAACTGCGTCGTCCAACGAAGTGGAACTGGAATGGATCGTCAACCACTGGGGTCCACACGACTATCGGGTAACAAAACCTTTTCTTTTTTCGAGTAGGCTAAGGAGTAACGTTGTGGATACAATGAAGTTAAATGACTGGCTGGATGTGTTCGGTATTCACAAAAACTAAATATTTTCTTGCTGTTATGATTTATGGCCATGACATGGCATATTGCTCTGGCTTGCAGACTACAGCGTTGAGCTACTAGCTTGTGGAGTACTCTATATTAAAATCCCAAAATGACGTTAGTAGACTTTGAAATGACATAATATCGGTCTCTAAAACCGTTAATAATAGAAAAAAACTGATAGACGTTGGCAAGGATCTAGAAAGTTATAAGACTACTGGAAAATTCGTCTTTCCGAAGAAAAAGGCATTTCTGGTTTCTTATACTTACACCTGGTTTACAACTTATAGTAATCGAGAATTATAAAAAGGTTGAATAGCGTATAATAATTTAACACCGACGCACAGATATGAAAAATATTACGGACTGTTACCTTTGTTGGAATCACCTGATATTTCGCTGTTCGGTAACCTAGAACTGATATTTATTCAATCAATTGGTTACAATTAGCCAGTACCACGTATAAAACACAGAGCACAAACTAAAACGAAATTTTCAGTCAATAAATATATTCTTTACGGTCAACGTAGAGAGATTAAATCCAAGGATTAACACAGAATTAGTGTTCCATATTGGGTGGGGAACCCTAAAATTGATATTGGTTACTCATTGTAGACACGGGATGCCAAACATAAATTTAAGCTTGAAGTTCATTGCTCTGTAGGCCAAAAAATGAAAAACAATATACTTTGTAGGTTCTTGCAAATAGTTGCCTTTTTTGCAAAACGGATTTTTTTAAAAATTATGGAAGGGCAAAGAAAACACTTATTTTACGAAGTCAAATTCATTCTCTGCGCGTTCTACAAACTGTTTAATTGAAACTAAAGTAAGCAAAAAATGCTTCCTAAGATCGCCCAACTGTGTGGGCCGCATATTTTGTGTGGTTAATTTTCACATCCTATATTCTGGGCTTTATTTTTTCTAGAGATTTGAGTGCTATGCTGATGACCAGCTTCTGTGCTCCGGCCTTACAACTACTGCTGAAGAGGGAATGTGCCGTAAGTGGCATTTCATTGACTTGGGCAAAATTAAAGCTGTGCAGGTTAAACGTGGCGAAACACGCAGAATTCAGCGACTGCGTAGATTTTCTGACCTACTCACGAGCTCTGAACCTTCATTACTTATCTATGCAACTACCGGTTCTACGTGATCGCTGGAAGAAGAACTTTATTCGCCTAGCATTTTGCATTCATCCTCGAACCCATTAAAAGATCCCGGTGACCAGTGCATATGGGGTTGCAGTATTTATGGGACTTAGGCGCTATGGAGCGCAATTAACGGCTCTCTCCTTCATCGCAGACTTTTTGATCCCAATACGATAACTGTTTGATGACCGAAAATCGCCTCGATTTCGTCCAACATGTTGGGTGTTTAAGTACTAATTGCTCGCCCATTCGGTTCACTGCTACTGGGGTTAGAAACTACGCTTGGCTGCGCGCTCCCAGAGACCTAATTATCCTGCCCAGTGTTAGTCTCTAAACTGAATATGGAAGGAGCAAGTCGCTGTAATTGTTAATAGACTGGTTGCCAGTGAACCCTAAGTCAAGCAGTTCACGTCTCACGCGTTTGTCAGCACTCCCGGGAATTTTGTGGCGTCGACGAACTTGAGTACGTAGCCAAATCCCGCAAAGTGATCTGCGACTTAGCAGCTGGGGTAATTTTTCTTCACTGCTACTACATTTTCGGCTATTCGCGTCTACTGTGGTAATTGCTCTGTTCACAACTACATCAGGCCCTACAAACGACAAGATTCAAAGACTCGAATGCTGTCCACCAAGGAGATATCGCACCAATAGAAAGGGGGGACGTTCATTTAGGTGCTAAAGTGGTGGCCTCAAAAAGGCGTCCCCAAATACTGCAACTGTTTGTGCATGTATTACCCTTATCTGATGCTTTTGTCGCTAGTGGGATGGTCGACAAGACTAAGATTCTCAGATCAGAAGTCAGGCAATAGGACGTGGACCTGGATTGCTTTTACTGCTGAGGAAGTGCGTGTCGAAAAGCTCTGCATGCAGTCGCCGCGAGCGCGCTCTTCAAGCAAGTCCGACTTGTCTGGGTCCGCCGTCGAGGACCTCAGACCCAGCGCCTTTCGTTGTCCCAGCGTCCGCCAGCCAACCAGAAGAGGAACAGTGTCGATTGACTTCGAGCACTCGCGAGGCTAGCGACAAGCCTCGTGCGTCCCAGCAGTGGATCGACATGGAGTGTGAGGCGGATAGGGAGGCAGCGTGACAAAGCCGGAGGGCAAAGAGACGTGAACGGCCACACTTTCACTGATGATGGGAGGAGAGGTAGCGTATACGAGGACATTTTGATTACGGCGAAACTTGTCAATCGTAATTCTACCTACGGATTAAGAGACATGAGTCTGCAATGTGTGTAGTTGGGAGATGGTATGGCGCGACTATGTCTCACCCGCTGACTAAATCTATGACTGTAAAAGGAGGGCTACCCGTCCATACAGACGAGACTTATGAATATCACCGGAGTCATCCAGTCTTCGCCAGAATTAGGACACTAAATTATGACATTTGATCCACCTTTCACAAGATATCCCGCTATTGACCGTCATGGCATAATAATTTTTTATTGTTATTATCAAATTAGCGTGCGTTTATATGGCTGCGTTCGTGCATTCGGTGTTTTATCATAGTTTAGTATAGTCGTTGATTTAGTTTAACGTAAAGCGCACAGGAAAGGCAAATACGGCAGGCAGTAACTGGCACAACCCTCATAGGGCTTAAGAACACCAACATAGGCGACAGATGTCCGCCCAGTTATGCATAGTCATCGTGCTTTGATCACGTTTGAAAATTACTACCCCCTGATGTGGAAAAGGCCGCTGACTTGTCGGTTTGGCACGGCCAATTCTAGAAAATTAACGTGTCTGGAATAAGACTATTTATAGAAAGCGCATTTTGCGAACTCGTTTTCAATGAAAAGGCTTCAAAGAAACTGAATCACGTTGTCGGTAGACTCACGGAAACAGATTCTGATAGTCCAACTGGGCAGTCAGTTAAGGAATCAAGAATCGAAAAGTGTACAAACTAACCTTCTCAAATAATTTTCGAATGGGTTGATCTTTGAAGGAAGTCAGCAACTCGCCTATATAAAAGAATGCTTAAAAAACACCCTGTTCTTCTTCTTATACGCAGCGGTCGATGCAATGTCTGATGCGTTTTATGCGCCTTTTAGCCGGGTTTCGCCATCTGCGGTGTTCATATCTGCAGCACAATCATCGTATATATGCGTCTTTGCAGCTACTGTTAAACGTATTACATATAAACTTTTTAAACAAGTCTCGGTCTAGGGATATTTGGCAGGATAGGCATCAATCAAAATTCTATGGTCACACCGTCGCTCCGCCCGCAAAATTGTCAATTAAACAACACACATTCGTTCTTGGTGCTTTAGCACAGTAGCTCTCGCATTTGTCAATGCTCTAATAATGTTTCAGATACATGGTACAATATAAATATAATAACTTGCCCATGAATGCGCTAGTAAATTACCCTTGCGTGATTGATGACATTTTGGACTTATTCAGTAGACCTCGATTGTTCTGATCGTCTGTAGGTGAGAGAATACCTCAGCGCGGGCAACAAGGCCGTGTCTAGGTGGTCCCACGTCTTAGAATATAACTGGCAGCAGTCCATAAAAATCTGGGAGTTAGCGAACCTACGGGACTGTGGCATAAAATATTTTCCTTAACAAGTAATTTTTAATTTACAAGATCGCATTATTTCGGAATGCATAATTTTCTTTGAACTTGCTTTTCATAGCAACGTAGCAGGGGTTCCTCAGTACTGTTGCTGGATTATTTGCGTATTCAGGTTCCCTAAAATTTGAAAGACTTTCCTTATATTAGATTCGCGGACAACCATGTGGACTGATTTTCTTTTGGCAATTCGGGTCTGCGAGATGCTGTTCAGTCAGACATGGCCGCTGAGCAACTAAGGATTGTAAAGCATTTCACTCTTAATTAAAGCACATTTTCCTCCAACGTCGACGTTACACAGCTCAACTTCTGAACCTGAGTTCCAGTTTCGCTGTATCTATTCTGCCTTGTTGTACACTAGATGTGCGCTAGGAAGACTGGTTCAGCTTGTATTTAAGTCAGTGTCAAATTTGGCATTTTCGCAATGTAGTCGTCTAGAGGTTACAATAACGGGGAATATATTGGTCAGCGGCTGTAAGATTTGACCAGATCTGAATAAAACGATTGTTTTGCCTTAGATTACACATGTTGAGCTTAGTTTGAGAACATTAAAAAACAAGTAGGCCTCACTGACAACATCACATGACTAAGTTAATTTAAACGAGGTTCATCACAAATACGAAATTGCATGCCTCTATTTACTAAGAGCTCATATTATAGCGTATTTTCAGTGTTAGGAATGAACCATCTGGTCAGAGAATGCTAGATTGGCATTGGAAAGCCTTTCCAGAACGTCTCTAGGGGCGAAACTGTTGTTTTCGTGAGTAAGGCTACGACTTAATTTGACGAGATAAAATCTCTTTAGCGAGTTAAAAAACTGCTTTCATTACAATTAAGAGCAATCTTATTAGAGAAACAAGGAGGGATTCTTCCAATATTTACTTGCTAAAATCTCGATCGTATTCCTATGTAGATGTCAATGATTATGGAGAAATTTACGTTTTCACCCTGACTGCATGGAGGAAACAGAACTCAGCAATGGCGCGATATGTTTGTCGTACTGCGGCAGCTTCCCAAGAACGTACCATATTTTGGAAAAGTAAAAAGTTACTTTTTAATTTCCCTTTAAAAATATTTTGCGTTCTTCATGACTTCCAGTCTTTTGCTATATGCCGCTACTCAAACTTATTAAAACGCAGTCAGTTCTGAACACTGGTTTGCTCAGTGGTGACGGACCCATCCCATTCATATAACACATGGCAGCCTACCTTTACAGATAAGTCGGCTAAACAACTACGTTTCAAGTGACGTTCATAAATTCTGACTAATGTATCTGCGATATGGGGACGTATGCACATAAGGAATCCATCCAATACACTGATAATTATTGTCTTTTTTAATGTTTTTTCAGATCAAATTGGAAGCAATGCCAAAGAATACATTCCAGGTCAGAGACAGTCTTTGCATTGAACCTTAAACGTACGATCAATAAAAGCCTGTCCTTGCATAATTATCTATTTGGCAGCCTTTATGCTCTGGTAGGCAAAACCCACTAATGTTTCCAATTCAGCAAAGACGGTTCTTAATCTTTATTCCGCAGAGTACGTCATTTCCATAAGTGGTGGGATGCTAAGCCATTCAGTCGCGAACTACCTCAAAGAGGCTCAAATATCTTCCGAAAATGAGGCGGCCGATGTCGTGAGGATCTCTCCAAAGGCGACTTTTGAAGTTACATGCTCCATAACCGTAGAAAATAGCTCCTGGTTATGCAATGTCTACTTTAAAAAGGCTGTGCTTCAACTGGTAAGAGTAGACAAAGTTCATCTTGCTAAACTGTCTTGTCATCCGTTTTCTCTTTTATCAACATTGTACTCTGAGATTTGGCATGGACGTGTTGCACAATTCAATTCGATCGTCACTGCGCGTAGACAAAGTTGGCGCAGAAAACTCAACAATGACTCGTGGGTCTTGTTTCTTTAAAAAAATTCGAATTGTGGTATTATAGCTGACAAAATATAGATGCGACCGCTGGAACAAGAGCTTTATTCGCCTGACGTTTCGGACATAGAATCGAACCCACCATCAGAGACAGTGGCAGAAACCGACGATTCGTGCAAAAGAAGTTGCATTATTTATAGGATACAGTCACTATGCCACTGCATACCTATGATACTTAACCGCTCTCCCTTTCATCGATAATCGTTGTCAGCTGGTGCGCTAATGGTATAAAGACTGGCATACAAATTGGTGAAATCCCATTAACCTTGTTGGATGCAGGCGTAATGCTTGCTCGGTCATCTGGCTCACCGACCTGCGCACTCTCTGAGTGGCTAATAAAATTTGACCCGAATAACTCTCAGCACTAAATATCGGGATGGGGATGTCATTAGACTTTCTGATAGACTGAAGTCCCGTGTACCATGAATAAAGTTATTTACGGTCCACGCAATTATTCCCTCTCGTGAGAATCGCAGTCTCGCAGAGCTTTAATGTGCGACCCGGTCTCATCGAATGGGCCACGACTTGCGAGTTTGCATTACTTCTCTGCACTGCTGTCGCCCGTTTGCGTGTGGAGTAGTTTTCCAGTTTCTCCAGCGTAGTTGTTTTGCTTTTAAATGCGCCGGATCCGCTAAACGTTTCCAAATGTTTTTTTGTCATGACCGTGGGTCTTTGGGTTTCACCAGGTGACACTTAATGTTTGCCTTCGAGGAGGCGATTGAGACCTCGAGGACGTTTTTGATGTATTATAGCTGATACGAGCATGATTGTCCTTTAATAAGGCAATTTATGAAAAACATGTATGAACGCAAAAAAAGGAATGCAACCAATGAAGGGCCAATTAATCTTTCGGCACAGTTGTGCACTCAACTGTCACACAATGCTTGCAAAAACATTATTTTTGGAGAAAGTAATTATTATTCCTCCCGTCTTTATACACAAGATGAAAACAGTCCTTCTTAGTATGCTGTTTGACATGGCGCTGTTGGTCTATTTTAAAAAATCACCTTCTGATTCTCAGAAATACCGAACGAATGGCGATACCGCGGATCGTGAGAAGACGTACATGAAGTATTTTTTTATAAAATAGTGCTTGTATGCCTTTTAAATAAAGGCTTTAAACTGTAATAGACCATCAGCACGCTGTTCAGTGCGAATTCACAAAAGATTCACTATACGGCTAATGGTTTTTGCGCCCCAAACCAATATATGTCATTTCTGCTGATACTAAAGCCAAACGGAATGCCCATTTTAATGAGCTCTAACGCGACCTATTTCTTCCGTTGTAGAACAAAGAAGTTTCCTTTTCTGGAAGCTTATTCGAAATTTCAGGGAAATATAATGTTTGCCTTGGAAATACTGACAGGATCGAAAATCTGCTCGAGCAAGAAGTTGTGGTAAAATCGCTGACAGCCAAGAAGATGAGCAACAATGAGAAATGGTTAAATCGCATTCTAGAATTTAATTTGGAGAGCATGTTTGCTAAGGGACCGAGGCTATCCTGCGGCGTATAGCTGACACTGCATGAGCAGGCTACTTTATACGCATGTTTATCGTGCATATTTTGTAAAATTTT